TCAGGGTTCAGTGACACTACCAAGCCCAGAATGAGTGAGCTTCTGATGTCACTATGGGACAATGCTACAGTTTAGAGAGGGGAGAGTGGGTCAGCTGGACTATCCAAGCCAATCAGGAAACACTGCAGTTTCTTTGCTTGTTCACAATGCCCTCTGGGGGAAAATGGCAGGTCTTGAAGCTTTTTCTGAAACAGCCTCCCCCTTCTAACTCAGCACTTACTCATCTGTCAGACACCTCCATAACTCATCACTATGACATTTCCCTGGCCAGTAGCAGCCATGGAAAGCCCAAACCAGACAGACCCTGGAACTCTGGATGGTGAAGGTCTATTACAGAACAGTCGTCAGCTGCAACTGTATTAGCTGAGTTCTGGAAACAGTGCCTCTGCTCAGTCCCTGTAAGGCCCATCCACAAAGAAAAAAGGAGCCACCTACAGAGCAAGCTGGTGCAGAAAAAGTGAGATGAGAAACTGAGGCACAGATGCAGCATCCCACCAGAGCACACGGGGGCCTCCTAGCTTACTTTTTTTTGCTGAAGCTCAGGGTCTCTGAAAAGCCTGCCTTGCAAAAGAGCAAGACGGCAACCGATGCATCTGTGGCTTCCATCCACATCATGGGGGCATGCTTACCTCCCTGTAAGAAAAGAGAGCACAACTCTGAGAAATGGAATCTGGTGGCCCTCCAACTGCTCCTCAATGAAGTTCCTGTTCTTCAGCTGCAGGTTGGAAAGGGAGCCCTACAACCTATGGGAGAGGCCAGGTTGCTCAAGTCTATGCTAAAACTGAGGAGCTCACTGCTGAACATCTTGTTGCTTCTTCTCTGCAGAAAATTAACCATGGGACTTTATCCACTTCTTCCAGACCATACAGATATCAAGATCTAACCCACAGTCGGTCTGGTTCATCAGTGATTTTTTGCTGATGATCAGCTTCCAACTGATTCACACAAACAACCTGGTGTGGTCACTAGAGGGAGGTGGACTTCTCTCCCCTAAGGGACTTGATTTTTACTCAGCTTCCTTGGAGAAAGCTTGAGATCTTTTCAGAAGTTACCCTAGCAAGCAGAAGCAGCTGCCCAGTATAGTCTAGCCAACCCTGCAGTTCCTCAACTCTGTTCCAAAAAGAAAACTGCAGGCAGACGTGCCTGGATGGCTCCATTCCCATGCTGCTGGCAGAAATGTCCTCCTGATTCAATCAATGCGGCTGGGGAATGCTGGGAAACACTTCCTATGCATCATGGTAGCAACAGAGGCTTTTGTTTCAGGCCATCCACGGCCTCCCACCCGGCCAGCCCAGACTTCCCTACACATGGGCAAGGTTTGGTCAACTCAGAAACTCCAGACCCTCACACCTCTGTGGTTCACTGCCATTACGAAGGATGGCCTGACCACGTGCCCAGTTTGTAGCTCAATCCAGAGTGAATTCCAACGGTGCAGCCAACCCATGTAGGCATGGAAGAGCTGGGCTGTGTTAATGAGGCAGTCCAGTCAGCTGGAGGCACCCCCTTGTCCGGGAAACTCCTTGTGGGGTGGAAGAGGTAGTAGGCCTGCTTCTGTCTCCAGGGGGGATGGCACAGCCATGGGCACACCCTCCCAAGAAGGGAGAGGGCACCCGGATTGGTGACCCATCCTGTCCTTCCTCCAAGGATTACTGAAGAAGCTTGGAAGAGGCATCCGACTCGGAAGCCCAACACACAAGAGCAGCACGCTAGACTTGTCTGGGAGGACTTCCTTTAAAGCAGAGACAGTTCCATTCGTGCCATGCTTTGAAAAAAATCACAGTGAAATGGTGGAGATTGTGAAATGCCTCTCCTCTGCTTCTCCGCATCCCTCCGCAAAGTGGTGACCATTGAATGAAAATGCTGGGACCCCCCTGAGCAAGCTGTTCTTTCCCACATGACCCCCAGTCCTTTCCCAGCAGGCCGGGGGTCCAGCCCGGCGATTTATTGCTATGTTCAGTGGAAAGTGGGCGATCCAGTTTCAGCCCAGGATTACTCAGCGAACGTGGCAATGAGCAGAATGAAGACGGAGGATGCAGGCCCAGCTGGCAAGTATCTGGGGGTAGGTAGGGCCCTGCAACTGCACCGGTGGCAGCTGAAGACCTACGAGGAACCCTCTGCTGGCTTGAAGATGGGAAGGGAAGACCATGCTGTCAAACGGAACGGGGAGGGGGACCTCCATGACCCTGGCAAGGTCATGGCAAGATGCCCGGCACTGGCAGGGAGTCCCGTTGCATTAGCATCTGCAGCTGGCCACGGGGTGGAAGGAGGCAAGGCGACATCGCTCCCCACCCCCCCCCCCACGGAATCCCAGACAGCACTTGCTGCGCGGCGAGGCACTCCCTGCCTCTCACAGTGGAATGGATCAGGTAGACGTGTGTGTCGCCTTTCAGCCGGTGAAGGCAGGGCAAGGCAGGGCAGCCTTAGTGCAAACTGAAACGAGCCCCCTCGCCCCGTGAAAATCATCATGCGCTCAAGGGCTCCTCCAAAGAGAAAGAAGGCAGCAGAGTACGGCCTCCATAGCACAGATCATGTTCCAGCAAGAATTTTTTCGGGGGGGGGGGGCAGCCACACAGCTGGCCATCTATTGGGAAGGAACTGCCCCAGTTCGAACAGGATACCATCCATGGAATGAGATCTTTCCACACTGACACCAAGCCAAGCAAGATCCCCTTTCATCTGGGGGGACCTCAAAGTATTTCATCACATCTGGCCTCCTCCTGAATCCCACATCATGCCTCACATCTGGCAGAAATGAGGGACAGAAGACCTGAAAGAGAGCATGCATGTCCTCTAGCATCTCGCGTCTGCCAGGGCTGGGCCAAGTGAACTTCCTTCCTGTGTGCACGGACACAGTTGAGGCGGAAAGAGAAATCATGTTTTTGGGAAGCATGAACAAACCATGGTGAACCTCAGGGTTCCACAGCCCCGCTCCTCTCTCCTCTTTTGTGGCCACAAGGAGGGGGTAGAAGTTTCACTTCTGCTATTTAAGAAAGTGCCCCAACCATGTCCGATCTCAGTAAGCTATGGTTTGCTTGAACTATGAGTTCAGAACCAGCCAGGAGCTGAAGACACATTTTGATCCTGGCTTGACTGAGCTAGCTAGATTTTAAACAAGCCACAGTTCCCTGTGTTCAAATACTGGCTGGGAACAGTGTTTGGTTTAAGATCAGAAGCAAGTATTTCTAGTCTCTACTTCACAGCATGGAAGAGGACATTGAGCTGGAGGCATCTCATTCTCAGGGTGAACCACCAGAGTGTCCCATGGTCTCTTATCCAGGCCCTTGTCTCACAGCCCCTGTGCAGCAAGACTTCCATGAAGTCTCCTGTTCTTCCTATTGGCACTCCTGGCCATCACCCTCCCTTGTTGAATGGGAAAACCTGAGCTGAGCTGCATGGACCCCCAGTTCCTCCCATGGTGGGCCTCCAAACCACCTAAAACGTTCTCCATGCTTTTGACTTTGACTTGGTCAAAGAAGGCAGGCTTGGGTTGCAGCAAGAGGTCCATCTCACCCCCATGGATGCTCAGCCTTGGCAAGCCTGAAATCCTCATGCCACTGACATGCTGGGCTCTGGACTGTCCATGGCCCCAGAGAGTGAGCTGAAGGACCACTGGGAACGGCGGTAGGCCTCACCCCAATAACACACAGAGTCCCCCTTTCTTTCCTTCTTGCTATTTCCATTTTCTCATCAGGATGAAGAATGGCTACGTTCTTGAGGACACTGGAGAAACATCATGAACTGTTAAGGAAGCTTGGCTGGTCTTGGGAAGACAGTCCCACGCTCAGCCTTCACAAATACTGCTCCCCTGCCAGCTGACCTCCTAGGTCCCTGGCCCCTCTGAGCACTTCCTGTTTTTCCAAGAGCTGTCGTAGCAAGAGAGCGCCCCTGGAATCCTCTCCGTGGGGCAGGCCGTCATGGCCTCACGGGACGCAGCCAACAGGCCCACTGCTTCCAAATAACGGCTAGGAGATGAAGCCAAGGACTTCAGCACAGGTCCAAAGCATTCGCACCCCGCGGGAGCATGCAGCTTGCCTGGGGGGTGACAGAGTGTGTCCTGGGGAGACGAGAACGGTGGGAAAATTTTTCTGCTTTTGTAAAAACAAAACAAAGCCCCCCCTCAAAATAACCCCCCCACAACCCACTGTAAACAAAGTAGAAAAAGATGAAACAACAACAAGCAATGGAAAATGCACATCAACTATACAACACGGTGCATGGCACAGGAGGAGGAGGAGGAGGAGGCCTGCGGGGGCAGGCCGTTGGCAAACTGGTGCGGCCTCGTGACTGTCTTGTGCATATGATATGTAGGCGCTCGAAGTGCACGGGGCAGAACCTCTGTGAAGCCAGCTGGTCCCAGCGCAACGGAGACCAGGACTTCAGAAAGCCCCTTGCCCTGCCTTGCCCCACCAAGGCAAAGCTCCTTGTTTGTCGAGAGGAGGGAGTAGCTGGGGAAGCGCTTCTTCTGGTTTCCGTCCTTTAGAGGAAAAGAAGTGTAAAAGACACGCTCGCCTCTGGAGTCCACTGCTGTAGAGACATGACTGCCCATCACATGGGGAAAGTGTTCCGACTCGTGTCCCTGCTTCGGTCTGGCCGGCCTCGCCGCTGGGGTTGGGCACGCCCAGCAGCACCTGGAGACACGCAGTTTGCCACCCCGGGCTTTCTGGTCCAGCTTGCGCTCCAGAAGGCAACTGGGCCAGTGCAAAGGACGAGGGAAAAGGAGCCACTCCGGATCCTTCCCCAGTCGACTTGTTCATCTCAGAGCCCTTGGAGGGAAGATCACAGCTGTCCTGTTTTCACTTTTAAAACCATCCTTCAACGCGAGAGCCCGCATGGTTCCCTCTTTTTGGATCCGCAAAGTCTGCAGCAACTTTGCCTCGAGGATGTCCCTTCCATGTCGCCGCCGTCTCTGTGGGGGGACACAAGGCCCGCCGAGGGCACAGACACACAGGGACCAAAGGGGGTCGGGGCCTCGAGAAGGGAGAGTGTGCAAGTCCGGCTTCTCAAACCTCCACAGACTGGATCTGGTTCATCTGTGCCCGCATCACCTGGATGCTGTTCAGGATTTTCTTCTGGTGGCCGGCTAACGTGACCCCCACTCGCAGGATGTCCCTGGAACGAGAGGCAAACGAGAGATCCGTCACTGGAGAAGCGCTAGGGAGAAGGGAGCTGCCACGTGGGGAATGGCAACCTGGAGAACGTCCCGGGGGCTGTGAGTCATTCATGGGGGGCTACCAGTGGCGCAAAGAGCCAGGCAAAGCCCACCCCGTCTCCACGGTGGCACATTGCTTCTTGGAGACCTGCGAATCTGTTCCTGAAACAACCGGATTAGCCCTCTAGTGCAGCATCAGCCATCATCCTGTGATATGGAATGCGCTCCCCAGAGAGGTCCGCCTGGCGCCGTCATTATACCCTTTTCGGCGCCAGCTCAAGACCTTTTTATTTAACCAATATTTTAAAGTTAGCTAATTTTAATGCTATATTTATTTATATAATTCATTTTGCCTACGTTATTTTATACTGTTGTGGTATAGCCAATTTATTTATTTGTTTAGGATTGGTAGGTTTTAATGTTTGTAAATGTTTGTACATAAATGCAAATAATAATAATAAATAATAATAATAATCCTGGCAAGTGGTGGTCCACTTCAGCTTTACCCACCGATGCCCTCCTGCTTGATTGGGTGAAGCTATTTCTTTTTGTACATGGGGGAGAAAAAATAATCTTCCCTGAGTTGAATCACAGTCTGTTTCGAGCAGGTGTGAATGCTGCAGAGCTGGGGGATCTGTTTTATGGAATGAAGATGTCCTGATACGATGACCCAGCTAGAAAGAATGGGATCATGTGGGGTAGAAGAGACCAGGGGTAGCTTTCAGGGGTCAGGGAGCAACAGAATTCAAAGTGTCTGATTGCTTTAACTCGGGAAGGTGAGCTTAGAGAAGGGAGAACTCAGGAAGGGGAGCTTAGAGAAGGGAGAACTCAGGAAGGTGTCCTACCATGAAGGGCCAGCTTCTCTGCAGACTTGCATTTATCATTAAGGGGTGTTGGCACTGAGGGGAGCTGCTGTTCTTGGGGTGCATCCCAAGGGCACACTGATCTGGATTTAAAGGAATGAGCAAAGGGGCTCAAAATGTGGGCCACTTCCAGACACTGAGATCTCAAGGGCAGGCTCACAGGTGGGCAGGTGGCCTCCGGGAAGAGCCAAGATGCACATTATCAGATGGGGACTTGGAACAGGGCATTTTCTCGGGGAAAGACGAGGCAGGTACTGCTCTCAACCCATGAGGCAACCTTGGCAAAGGAGGGTGTCCCAGTTAAAGGACTGGTGTGCTGAGAAGAGACATGCTCATTTCCGCCCGAAAGGATGGGGTCCAAAGAGATTCCTAAGTGGAGTTCCTAGACTGGGGGCAACAAACCACTCTTTGCATGCTCAGAGATTCATCCTGGGTGGTTGCGCTTTGGGAAAACCCTTTGGTGGATACAGAACTTTCTGCAAAGAGAGGTCTGTGGCTTTGAATGTGCAAGGGGAAGAAACCTAGCTCATGATAGAAGTATTTATTCATTTAGAATATTTTTATCCTGTCCGATACAATCCAATTGTCCCAGGACAGCTTACAATAAATAAATAATAAATACATAACAAGCAAAAAATACAACAAATAAAATACGACTGAGAATATTAATAAAACCAGAGTAAAATTATTTAAACTTTAAAAGGTTGGGTGAATAAAAAGGTTTCACCTGATGCCAAAAAACATATAAAGTCAGTGCAGGTGAACCTCTCTAACAAATTATCATTATTTAAATAATTAATGTAATGATGATTACATTGCCAGGCTTTTAGCACAGGTTTTAGAACAGTTTTCTGACTTGAGGACCTCCAACTGTTTGGAGGCATCCCTGTCCCGGAATGAGAGCTGATTTATACATGTAGCAGAGCTGCAAACCATGGTGGGGGGGCGGGGGGGGGGGACTGACCGCTCCATGAAAAAGGTTTCCTTGCATGTAGAAAGCTGTAGGTCCTGATCCAGCTGTTTCCTGGAAGGGCTGGAATGGTTTCTTTTGTGTGTTTCTTAATACAAGGGAGCAGTTGAATCTGCATCCCTCTTCAGCTATGCTATAAAAGATGCATTTCCAACAGGGCTGTACGGTGTGTTTACTGGTCTTCCCTGCCTGAGCTGCAAAGAGCAACTTAGAAACATAGAAACAGGGCAAGTCAGAAGGGGTCTCCCGGGCCATCTAGTCTGACCTCTGGCACCAGCCGGCTCCACTCACGACATGCCCACCATGTGGACGTCCAGCCTATCCTTGAACACCCGCACCGATGGGGCCTCAACAGCCTCTTGTGGAAGCCCATTCCACACCCTCGGGGTCCTGACTGTCAGCAAGTGCTTCCTGGCAACCAAATTGAACCTTGGCTCCCTGAGCTTTGCTCCGCTGGAGCACGTCCTGCCTTCCTCTGCAGGGGAGAACAGGTCTCTACTCATCTCCCTGTGACATCCCCTCACATGCCTGTATGTCGCCAACAGATCCCCTCTGAGTCTCCTCTTCTCCAGGCTGAAGAGGCCCAGTTCCCTCAGTCTCGCCTCAAATGGCTTTCCCTGCAAACTGGCTACCAACCTTGTGGCCCTGCGCTGCACTGACTCCAACCTGGCTATATCCTTCCTGTAATGAGGGGCCCAGAACCGAACACAATGCTCCAGCTGTGGGCACACCAGAGTCGTACAGAGTGGCAGTAATACCTCTCTCGATCTAGAAGCCACGCTGCTGCCTATGAACCTTTGCGCTTTCATTGCTGCCCCTCCATGTGCTTAGGCCAAGCACCCCAGCAAGGATCCCCTGCCTTAGCCCTCTAAACGGGACCCAGTAAGGCTTACTTTGAAGCTGCCACTGAGAACTGGGAGGGCTGCCCACCCGCCTTCTGCCGGCACTTACTCCATTGTCATCTGAGACACCACATCGAAGCTGGTGAAGCCTGAGCTGGCAAAACTCTCCTTGTATTGGCTCATCTTGATGGCCTCCAGCCATTCATCGACGGTGTTGAAACTGGAGTAGTCCGGGATTGTACGGTCCAATAAGGGGAGGTTAATCCTGGAAGAAAGTCCCAGAAGTGGGCAGAAGAAAATAATTCTACTTCCCTTGGCATGCAAGAATTTGATCCTCATCCTCATTTTCTTGCCTATCTTGGGAAGTTTACTGCTCACCCAAGAACCAACATCCTTGGATACGAGAGATGTCCCAATGCCCTACACTAGGATATATTCTTCCCAGGCTTTCCCTCGCCTCCATTTGCTCCCCTTTGCCTGCTGTCATTCCAATGATTTGGATTGTGAGATGCTTGAGACACAGGGCTGCCCCCATTCTTTACAAAGGCTCGTGTGTGCGGAGATGGCATTAAAGAGATAAATAAGAGAGTGCCAGATCTGTGTGATTCAGCCAGAAGAGTTTCCCACACTTTGAAATATTGAAGGCCTGCCAGAACTCAGCTGAAAACTCAATAGCTCGATGCTATAATTATACAATCCCTTCTATTCCTTCTATGGATCAAAAAAAGGGCAGGATAGAAGGGTCATGCATGCAGAAGCATGAGCTGAGCCCACAGAGAAAGGTCTCCCGTAGGCACTTGCAGATGCGACATCTCCCTGGTCACATTTAAGGGCCCATCCTTTTTCCTACCCTGAGGAGAGGGGTGCCATGGCTTTCAGGCTGTTGGGGTTCCGGATCATCTTGTCTAAGGTGTTGACAATCTGTCCGAATTTGGGCCTGTGGTTGCGATCCTTCTGCCAGCAGTCCAGCATGAGCTGATGGAGGGCGCTCGGACAGTCCATGGGCGGAGGCAGGCGGTAATCTTGCTCAATGGCATTTATTACCTGCAAGAGAAAAGCCCCTGCTGAGTGTCAAACTGGACGAGATGGGGAAGGAATTTATTTGCTTCGCACCCAACCATGAACCAACCCTGATATCACTGGTGCGTTCCAGACCAAAAAGTGAAATAAAACATGATCCTCTAACACCTTTTGTGCATCACTGAATTTTGCCAGGCAGTTCTCAGAGTGTCAAATGCATACAAGAGGGAGAATCGTATGAGCGTATGAATGCATTTTTAATATGTTAAGGAAAACAGGCTGAGAAAGTTGCATGCACTGGGGGAAATGGCATAGGAAAAAAACTAATCAGTCGGGGAGAATTCTTTGCAAAAGTTGTCCAAACACCAAATAGTTGGTGCGATGCAATCAATCTCTCTCTCAGGATTGCCATGGATAATTCTAACAATTATAATGCTAAGAAATTTGGGGGTGAGGGAACAGAATCATGCCTACGTTATGAGAAAGGTAAGGGGGACCTTAACTATAATTACAACACACATTCTCAGTTTGGCCTCAGTTTTAGCCGAGTTGTCCTCTCCCCAGTAGCTGGGAGATCACCTTGAGAGGCTGAGGGGCATAAACCTCTTGACACGTCAAAACTTAAGAAAAAGAAAGTGAAGAGATATCAAGGGGAAATGCATTTGTAGGGGAAAAAGTTGATCAGTAACCATAAAGAGAAAGAATTGAACACTTCATCTGGACAAGACGGAGGCACTGTGGGCCAGGGAGATGGCCTGAGATTTGAACTCCATCCCAGATGCGCTTGTGTTCCTTCTGAAGGACCACGTTCATAATTTGTTAATGCTTCTGGCTGCATCACTTCACTGAGACTGGGAGGCCTCTGTTTGCGTTAACTTGCTGTGGTTGACCCTAACAGAATAGTAGAGTTGGAAGGGGCCAAGGAGGCCCTTTGGGTTCGACCCCCTGCTCAGTGCAGGATTTCACGGTCAAGCATCCCAGACAGAGGGCTGCCCAACTGCCTCTTGAATGCCTCCGGGTTGGGAGAGCCCACCGTCTCCGTTGCTTTTCTTCTCTGACAGTTAAGTAACGTACGTATGTCACTTGGAAGATGGACTTGTGCATTTTACGTGAGCTGTCTTTGAAAACAGCTGGAAATGTCAACAGGTACAGAATGAGGCCACCCGGATGCTGGTGGAGGAAGGAAGTCAGAACATGCTGCTTTTTTGCACCATGTTCACCGGGTGCTGTTTCCAAGCAAACTGCTTGGGTGGATCTATGCAGCCCTTCCTGCGATGGGAGCAGCTTATCAAAGAGACCATTTTCACCCAGAAGATTTGCTCACTAAGATTAACTTCAGAGGCTCTGCTCAGGTGCCCACTGAAAAGCTCAGTTATGGTGGCGGACTCAAGAGACGGGGCCTTTGTCAGAGTGGCCCCACAGTGAGGAGATCTGCTGCAGTTAAGGGATACATCAAATCTTGTGATGCGGCCTTTCCTGAATGTGCTTTGGGCTAAATAATCGCAGGCAGTTTTGGTTTCTTTATTTGCTCTTCCTGAAATGTAAAGATAGAATCAGCCCTACGCAGCTCCAGGCAGCCTTCTCCAGCTGCGCCAGTTTGCAACTCCTAGGATCGCTAGCTAACTTGGGGTTGCCAAAAATGTCACACTGTGCACACTTTGCAAGGGCTTGACTCTGAAAGGCAGCCTCTGCATTCATTAAAAATGAAAGGGTAGACAGCAAAGAGCAAGCGAGGAAAGGGTAGGCAGCAAAGAGAGAGAAGCTACCCAAAGAAAATCAGCGGACACAGGAATCCTGTGCTTCGGAAGGGAGGCGAGCGGGCACAGAGAGGCAGGGGCGAATCGGCCAACCGGCGTTCTGTTCCAGAGGCTGGCTGCCGGCCAACCCGTGACAGTTCGCTGGCTCTCCTTTCCCAACATGGCTTGGGTTGGGTTCATTTACAGCTTTTGTTCCTTCTGCCGTCTTAGGCTGCTAATTAATTGTTTGCATGCATTCCCATGATAACAGAATGTTGTTTATCCATCACCCCCATGACTGATGGTCACTCTGCTTCTCTTCATCTTTAATTGGGCATTACGTGGCTCATGCGGGCACGCACAGTCCCTGGGAACACGTCCCTCCGGCACAGAGACATTGCCGGCTTTCCTCACTGCTGGAGCTTCCAGCAGAGGCCGAGAAGGCTAATCGGCAGCAAGCGCGACCTTCTTGCAGGGAAAGATCACTGTCGATTAAGGAACAACAGCTTCTGGGGCAGATCGCCCTGGGGCAGGAGGGGGAGGGGCAGAAGCAGCCGCAGAAGGAAAGGAGAGAGACTTCGGAGTTGCTAGCTCTGAGGCGATTCTCTGAGACCACTCAAGCAAACATTAGAAATGGGAGGGATAAGGAGGGTCCGTGTTGGGGCTGACATTCGTGCTGATTTGTGGAAGGGTATGAAACCAGAATGCTAGGAAGCCCCACTGCTCCTCATTTTCCTCCAAGGGAGCTGGTCTTTTCAGCCTGGAGAGGAGGAGACTCAGAGGGGACCTGTTGGCGACATACAGGTACATGAGGGGGTGCCACGCAGAGGTGGGTAGAGACCGGTTCTCCCCTGCAGAGGAAGGCAGGATGCGCTCCAATGGAGCAAAGCTCAGGGAACCAAGATTTAGGGTGGATGCCAGAAAGTACTTGGAATGGGCTTCTACAGGAGGTAGTTGAGGCCCCACCAGTGAGGGTGTTCAAGAACAGGCTGGACTTGCACATGGTGGGCATATCATGAGTGGAGCTGGCTGAAGCCGGGGGGTCAGACTAGATGGCCCAGGAGACCCCTCCTGACTCTCTCTGTTTCTATGTCCAGTTCTGAATCTCACATTACAAGAGGGATATACCAAGTTTGGAATCGGTGCAGCAAAGGGCTGCAAGAACCATGGCTGGTTTACAGGGAAAGCCAAATGAGGAGAGACTGAGGGAGCTGGGTCTTTTCAGCCTGGAGAGGAGGAGACTCACAGGGGATTTTTTAGTGACATACAGGTATGTGAGGGGGTGCCACGCAGAGGTGGGTCATGGTCTTTTTTCCCCGGCAGTGGAGGGCAGGACACATTCCAAGGGAGCAAAGCTCAGGGAACCAAGATTTAGGGTGGATGCCAAGAAGTCCTTCCTGATGGTTAGGACCCCTGGGGTCTGGAATGGGCTTGCACGGGAGGTGGTTGAGGCCCCATCGCTGAAGATATTCAAGGAATGGCTGGACATGCACATGGTAGGCATGCCATGATTGGAGTCGGTTGGAGACAGGGGTCAGACTAGATGGCCCGGGAGACCCCTTCTGGCTCACTCTGTTTCTATGTTTCTAAGCTTGCCTAGCAGGAACAGAACATGCCTTGCCCTAAACTGGATGCCCTTTCTGACCACAGTCACCAGCTCAAGAAGCCCACCAGACTTGGAGTTGTGGCTCGTGTCCCCGCCACTCCGCAACTGGCTTGGGTGCACTGGTGCTGCTCAGCAGCTGCTGAGACTTGGGGAGTTATTACCTGGTCCACTGCCAGGGCCATAACACACCAAGATGGCAGTGGAAAAAATAAACCAGGAAACAGTCTTGGGAAATGGTTTGCCTTCACCCTCTTTGAATTCTCACAGAAAGTTACTTTTCTTCTGTTAAGCTTTGGCAGGCGAACTTTTGCCAAGTGGCTGGGTGCCACTCTCGCTCTGATTACAAAGGGGTTATCAGTTCTAGCTTCTTGCAAAGAGGGATCTGTCCCTCCTGCAGCTACGCAGAGTACAAGGAAGAAAGTGGGGACTAGAAGTGGAGAGAAGCGAGAATGAGAGAGAGAGAAGGGTGGCAAAAAGAGGGCAAGAAAGGGAATGGTCTCTCCCACCGTCTCTGGCACTGTCTTCCCCTGCTATCCCATGAAAACGTGGTCCTTGGCTGAGTGGGGTCCCGTGTGAGACTCCTCTGCTCCACCAAAATTCATGTCCGAAAGCACCACTGGCAATTGGTGTCAGATTATTAGGATCTTTGTCCTCTGGATGAGGTATCCTGAGCTTTCTCTGGTTTTGCGTTTGGACATCTGGATGCAGTTAAGGAGGATCCCTAAATAGGATACGCCAGGTGGATATTCCTGGAGGAGGATAACAGATACTAAGAGGGGATGCCACATCAGTGAAGATAGCAGGCATGTTTGGGGAGGTGGGGGAAATTATGTACATGTAGCTCAGACATAAGAAGATTATCGATGGCCATGTCGACTTTACAGAAGAAGTGAACGAGAGAGAGAGAGATTGTCCCTGTCACATGAGGACAGGGATTGCTGAAAGTATACAGCGAGAACTGGCCATTCAGCTTTAGGAAGAACTAGCAAACTTTTGCAAAAGCTTGAGATGTTAAATAGACTATTTCAGAGACTCGGGTTAAAATCCTATAGCCAGAATCCCTCCGTCTTCATCAACAGAGCATGTAGCTTTTGCAAAGTGTGTAGAATTGCATAGGATAATCTCCCCGCGACCCTAAGCACCCAACTACTTCATACAAGTTCCAACTTCCTGCTCCAGCTGTATGGAAGTGGATCACATTATTCCCACCAGAAGGTGTGTCCTCCTTCAATGCACAACGATTGCATGGTATTTTGCTTTAGTTGGTTTTTATACAGCTTACCTTATTTGTTTTTTAAAATCGTTTCTGAACAGTGCACAAGATTCCCCTCTGCATAGCAGAGAGAGCTGTGTCCCAGAGCCATGAGCCCGAGGATGACTTACATCTTGATTGGTCATGTCCCAGTATGGTCGCTCCCCATAGGACATCACCTCCCACATGACTATGCCATAGCTCCAGACATCACTGGCAGAAGTGAACTTCCGGTATTGGATGGCTTCTGGCGCTGTCCAGCGGATGGGAATCTTTCCACCCTGCAAGCAGGGGAGAGAAGCAGTACAGGATCAATATGGACGGCTGGCTGGAGTATTTCTGGACCTGCCCATTGTACGAGACCGACGGCACAATGCAGTCTAAAGCATGCTTGGTTGAGATCAGGTCACTGTCCCAGAGCCCTTCTGTCCCTTGGGGCTGGACGAGCACCCCCATTCCCGATACTTAATTTGCGATGGCTTCGTGGGGCCACACTCCCTGGCCTGACTCTTTGGCACTAGGGTGCTTGTTGGCCACACCTTTGCGCATGGAGAGAGGGCATAAGAAGCACGGGTGGGGTGGGGTGGGGTGTGGCTGGCAGCTGCCATCTTATTCCCATGGTATCTTGTCTTACACTCATGCTGTCAGTCTTGATCGTTGCTGTGAGTTGGTCCTTTCCCTCTTTCCTTCTGGATACCAAACTCAAGATAATCCTTGGAAATACAATTATTTTACTGCAACTCGATGGATTAGAGGACAGTGAACTCTAACAGCCTTCGACCAAAGTGGAGGGAGAAGCATCTGCTCATAGGAAGAGCTGAATCTAAACTGGAATTTAGCTTCCACCCCTCCTTTCCAGGAAAGCTTCTGGTTTGACCTGACCTGTTTTAAGTTAAACTGTGGAGAAATTGGGCTCAGTGTTAAGGAATTAAGAGCTGGCGATTTTTATTTATTTATTTATTTACATTATTTCTACCCCGTCCTTCTCAAACATGCCAGGATGGCATATAACATAATAATCAATTACAATAAATAAATACAGCACAATAAAATTACATAATGAACATAAGAAGCTGTGACTGAGAATAATTAGATTGAAATTAATTAAAATAATTAAATATTTAAATATTGAGCAAATAAAAAGGTTTTCGCCTGGCGCCGAAAAGAATATAACGTTGGAGCCAGGCAGATTTCCCTGGGGAGCGCATTCCACAATTTTGGGTGCCACCACAGAGAAGGCCCTCCTCCGGGTGTTGACTTCCCTAATCTCCTTCAAGGAGGGTTCCCAGAGCAGGGCCTCCGCCTCAGATCTTACAGGGTAGGAGGGCAATATTTTGCAGTACATAAGTGTTCAGAGTGACTCTAAATCTCACGTATTGGACAAAGAGGAGGGCGATTCAAAGCTGGGAAAGCTCCCCAAAGGCAACTGGTTAACCACTAATTAAAAAAATGTTGGACAAGAGGGGCCTTCGATCTGATCCGGAAGGTCATTTTCAATGCTCTTATTTGTAATGCAGGACAAGCTGTCACTGTGCTGATCAACCTCCTCTCTGCCCCCCTTTCATGCCACCCAGCTCTAAGAAACGTGCAAGCACTGAGGCTTTGTCGCCAGCGTTGGTGATGCCTCAACACACTTTCTGCTTATCAAAGAGGAAGTGTTATAAATTGTTAACACGGCTTGGAACATCTGCGTTGCGCAGCAGAGTGCTTTTTGATGCACCACCTGTGTCTTCCGCGAACGCGGCTCCCCACTCTGCCAAGCAGCAGCAGCAAGGACAGATTCCTGCAGAAGGCTGACCTAGATAAAGTGCCGTATGACCCTTCCTCACACATCTCTGTAGACGGGACTTCCAGCTTGCTGGGCTTGGCTGATTTGTGGCTCCGTAATTTAAGCCAGATAGAGGCAACGCTTTGCCCCGCCATGAGCCATAGGAAGCTCTGAAGACCTGAAGAAAGGGGCATGGATACCTTTGGGAGTTCGAAGAGAGAGCCCTGGTCCTAGGTAGGGGTGGACAACCCTCTCTTTCACTTCCGAAAAATTGTTCCCATTTCCAGATGCAAGTTCTTTCCACCCTGTGTTGACACCAGAGCAAAATTTCCCTAAAATCTGCAGGAAAATCAATATGCATTTTGCCCAGTGCCTGCTTATTAAATTTACATGTATTTTTGAAAAAAAAAATGTATAGATTAATCTATCCCTAATAGATTCCCCCCTTTTTTGCACAGGCTGAAGTATTTATATATTTGTATAATCCCATTATAAAGCTATCCAAGCCTCTAATAGCTATAACATCCTGTGCTTCTGAAGGCCGTAAATAATGTGTTTTCTTTTATCTACCCTGGATGTCTTGCTAAACAGTTTCGCTGAGTGATTCCAAATGTTAGAATGAGAAAAGAAATCTTCTCTGTCCATTTTTTCTCACATGGTACATTATTTTATGTATTTCTACCTCTGTCCCCAACACACACACTCCATCTTTGCCTTTGTTGCCAGCTGGGGATTATGGAAACTGTATTCCAGCACATCTGTAGGGAACCAGCTAGGGGAAGATTAATTTAAGCCTTGCCCTACAGGGAAGATATTTCCATCCCTTGGTGATTCGGTTGCCCATTTGGGTACCTTTTGCAACTCCGAAATGGCCTTTGGTGTCACCAGACTCATCTGTGGCTACTTCAGAATTAGTTGCATTAGGGATTTTGTCAAAGAGCACAGGACATTGCCCGTGCAGCTTTGGTATTGGAGTGATGCAGAAATAAAACTATTAAAAATAAAATGAAATGAAATGTGGAGGAGGAGCAGCAGCAGGAGGAGAGAAGAGAATGAGAGAAGAGAGAAGAAGGAGAGAAGAGTGAAGAGAAGGAGAGAAGAGAGTAAAAGGTGAGAAAAAAACATGAGAAGGGAGAAGAAAAGCAGCAGCAGCAGCAAAAGAAGAGGAAAAAGAAGGGCCAGGGTTCCATTTAATTCCCAACCCAGCCTCCGCGATGAAGTCCTGCTTTCCAGCTCAGTCCTTCCATGAAACATGGAACTTTCCTGAGGTCCAATCGAGGGCAAAGTAGGAGGAGGGAGGCTTCGGGTCTGGGCAGGTGCCATCTGGAAAGCGGTTCTCAACTGTGCAAGGTGGGCTGCGGTGCAGGACCCCCGGTGCTGACCTTGTTGCCCAGGCAGGGCAGCTTCTGCCAACAGGCGGCAGCTCCCCCCTCCCCCAATTTTCTGCAGTTCTGTTGGAATGGAAGAGCAGGAACGGTGGGCTCTCCCCCTCCTCCAAGGGCTGGGGTTGGGTGGAGAGCACACACCTGGGCCTGCAGAGGGATGCACAGGGAAGGTGAAGCGTGGGGCAAGCAGGCAATGCTCAGGATGCGCCAGCTCTGCTTACTGCTCAGAATCCACGGCCGTCCCGAGTGGGCGGGAGATGCTGTTCCACCTCCATGCGAGAGAGAAGAAACAGACCCCCTCCTCTCATGACTCCTCCCCTCCCAGAGCAGCCGCTCCAGTAGCTTGCCTCAGAAGGAGAGACTGGACAGGGTGGGGAGGCTTCCAAGGAAATGTGATCTCCCTCCCACTGGAAGGACCGTGCGTGCTAGTGGGGCGTGGTGGGGGGGCTGTATTTGGCTACCTAGAGGCATCTCCTGGCCTTGGTATGGTCCCCCAGCACCCCCGCCAGGCCCTTTGGAACTGCCCGGGCCACCTGTGTGCATCCCGCCAGCTCTGCGCTTACCAGGGCGCTGGTGTAGGTGGGGTCCGAGGTGTCGTCCTCCAGGAAGCGCGAGAGGCCGAAGTCCGAGACCTTGCAGACGAGGTTGCTGTTCACGAGGATGTTGCGGGCAGCCAGGTCCCGGTGGACATAGTTCATGTCGGCCAGGTACTTCATGCCGGCCGCGATGCCCCGCAGCATCCCCACAAGCTGGATCACGGTGAACTGTCCGTCATTTTGCTGAGTGGGCAAGGGAGCGGCAGCGGTGAGCAGAGGCCGAAAGAGCGGCAGCTCCTCGGAAAGGTTAGCACGCCCCTCTCCCCTGAGACCACGACCTGAGACTATCTGAGCCGAGCCGAGCCTTCTTTGAGCAATCACCATTTTTCCTCGACTTTCTTTATTGCTCCCAAGTACAAAGCACCCAGGACCGATCTCTGAGCATGCACAGAGCAGGGTTCTGAACCCAGTCTGACGTTTAACTCCAGGAACGCTCCTTATGAACATGCCATGGGGGCGGGGGGACCGCGAAGGGGAGCACACCTCCTCTCCACATGCTGCTCATTCTGTTGGGCCTCCCACCTCTGTTGACAATTTGTCAAGGGATCAAAAGCGTGTGTGTGAGGGGTGGGGGTGGCCTGCACCTGAACATTCCTCGGTCTCAGAATCCCCTCCCAGTGGGTGCACATCTTGACCATTCCCAGACACTGCCTGGCTCTGCCCAGCACCTGGCCTTGAGATAATCGCCTCCGCCTCCTCCGCCTCGGCATCCAGCCCTAGCCCATCCCTCACAATCCCACCGTGACTTGCCGCTTGCACTTGTCCAAGACCGCCATCCTCCTTGCTCCTAACAGAGCACTGTGGATCTCCATGGGGCTCATAGCAATGGGATTTGGTTAGCCCTAAAGAGATCCCCTCTGAGCACACGGCCCACAAGATGCAGGAAACAGCCCATGTGGACGACGGCCAGTCCTGCTCCGCAGGGCCAAGCAAGATCACCTTCAAACATCTTGGATAAAACTGGGTTCTCTTAGGATCTGCAGGTCAAGGTTAACTGTAGGCACCTGGGAGAGTGGAGCTGCTTCAGGAAGCCAGACCCAAATGAGGGACCTGTGGAAGCAGACCAGAACCTGCAAGGTCTTGAGGTGGCGGCCAGGCGCCAGCCCTGGTGATCTGCTTGGTCCCAGGGACTAGCCTGGGCAGGTGGGACCCATCCGGAGCCCACGGATGCCACTTCCGAGAAGATGTGCCTAGCTGCCATTATGGAGAGCTCACCACCTGGGGCAGCCACACACAAGGTTCCCAGACCTCCTCCTGCCTGCTCCTGGGGGCTGCTCACAGAAAAGGAAGCCATGAAAGTGAGTCTCCTGTCCGGTCCCCCTCCCTGCCGCCACCTGCTCCTGTGATAACGTACCCGGAGGAAAGAGTCTAAGGAGCCGTTCTCCATGAATTCGGTAACAATCATGACCGGGGTGCTCTTGGTGACGACCCCCTCCAGGTGGATGACGTTGGGGTGGTCGAACTGGCCCATGATGCTCGCTTCGCTCAGGAAGTCCCGCCGCTGCTTCTCCGTGTAGCCAGACTTCAGAGTCTTGATGGCCACGAAGCTCTCCCTCTTGCCCGGCAGCTTCAGGTGGCCACTGCACACCTCCCCAAACTCCCCTGGCGTGGAGAACCGAGGTCAAAACCCTTGCAGGTTTGGGGGGGATGTCAGAGGTCCAACCCTCCATGTGCACAATGGCCAGCCATCCGCCCACATGATCCCTCAAGCAGGATGGGTGAGGAACCTCCACCTGCCCAAGCCCTTCTTCTTCAGATGTGCTGCTTCTGATAGCAGAGGTAGCACAAAGTCTTTGTTTAGTCGCAAAGTCATGCCCGACCCATCACAACCCCATGGACAACATTCCTCCAGGCCTTCCTGTCCTCCATCATCCCTGGAGTCTGCCTAAGCTCATGCCGACTGCTTCAGTGACTCCATCCAGCCACCTCACCCTCTGCCGTCCCCTTCTCCTTTTGCCCTCAATCGTTCCCAGCATCAGAGTCTTCTCCAGGGAGTCCTTCCGTCTCGCTAGGTGGCCAAAGTATTGGAGTTAGCACAAAGTCTACAAGGCTGTTTTCCAGATAGTCTCCTCCCTCCTGCATGGATCTGGCCAATCTCCTCTTGAAGCCATCCGGATTGGTGCCCATCAATGCTTGCCTTCATCCTGGCCCAAACTTCCCCAGTGCCTTATGGCCCCATTCCCCAAAACTAGGGATCATTCCTTTTTGGGGGGTCAATACCCCCAAACCTCCTCCTTTGCCCTCTCCCCTCCTGAGAATGCCCCTTGGTGCCATGTTACTCTAAGGTATTCTTAGAGAAAATAACAGTTTCTACCAGAAGTTGCCCTTTCATTCTGTAGCTGCCAAGTTCCACCCCCATCACTGGCCCTGGGGCACTACTACATTTGGGGTGGGGGCAGAGAGACCCTGTGAGAGAGAGAATGCACCTCCTACCACCATCTACCAGGAAGTTGCCCTGGAATCCCACCTCCCATTCATCCTCCCCCTTTCAAGCTCAGAATTAATTAAACTAAACCATGACTTCCGGCTTGGCCCTACCTGGGCTCATTCCAAACCACGTTCTCGCTTATCCTCTTGCAGGAAACATGGACTGCGCCAGGCTGAAAAGTCCAGCTTACCTGCACCGATCACTTGCTCGATTTTGACACACGAGATGTCGATCTCCTTTGCAAACTCCCGGACGGCCTCGTTGGGGTCCTCGTAGGTGAATGGGTCAATGTAGATCTTCATACCAGGTGTCACTGCTCAGAGGTGGGAAAGGGGAGATCTGCATGATTCATTTCGTGTTCTCAGCATGCCTCTACCTCACCTGTCCCCTGATCAGCGCTTGGCTACGCCCACCCTTTCCTCCGAACCTTGCACGCTAAGCATGGCTTTTTTTGCACCTGTGTGAGGATACACGGAAGCATTGGAAGCTGCAAGGGCTACTTCTTTTCTTTTCTTTTATAACTTTTCTTTTATAACTTCTTTTATATCGTTTATATTTTTTATTTATTTTATATTATTAATTTTAATTTTATATTGTTATTTTTGCATTGTATTGTATTTTATTGTGTTGTATGCCGCCCCTTGCCGAAGCCTCGGGGCGGCTTACAA